TTATTATTTATTTATTTATTTATTTATTTATTTTTGTTTATAGTGCTGGGGATCAAATCCAGGGCTTCATGCATGTTAGGCAAACACTACCACTGAGCTACAATCCCAGACTGACAGAAATTAAGAATTGTGAATTCTCCAATGCTGCTCTTTTCCAAAGGTATTTTGGAAAGGAACTATTCTAGTGCCTTGTCTTTTGATATTCATTTTGGGATCAGCTTGCTAATTTAAACATTTTTTTTATTTTTAAAATTTTACTTTATGTGTATGAATGTTTTGCCTGCATGTATGTAGGTACACGCCCTTGCAGGTCAGAAAAGGGTGTCGAATCCCCTGGAACTGGAGTTATGAATGGTTGTTAGTTGCCATGTGGGTGCTAGAACCGAATTAGGTCCTCTGCAAGAGCAGCCCGTGCTCTTAACTGCTGAGCCATCTCTATAGCCCCACAGCTTGATTGTCTACTTAAAAATAGGCCGTTGGGGTTTTGACAGGAATTACAGTCTGAAGAGCAATCTGGCACATACTGCCATCTTAACAATGTAAAATCTTCCAGTTGGGCTGTTGATGTAGCTTAGTGGTAGAAAACTTGCCTACCATGCAGGAGACCCTGGGTTTATTCCCAAGGGACACACACACACACACACACACACACACACACACACACACACACGGAAAAAAAATTCTTTGTGGTATATCTTTCCATTTTAAAGGTTGTCAGGTGTAATGGTGCACGCCTTTAATCCCAGCACTTGGAAGGCAGAGGCAGGTGGATCTCTGTGAGTTTGAGGCCAGCCTGGTCTACATAGTGAGTTCCAGGACAGCTGGAGTTACAGGGAGACCCTGTCTCAAAAAGCCAAAAAGCCAAAAAAAAAAAAAAAGGTTGTCTTAAATCTTTTGTAATGGTAATGTTTATAGTTTTCAATATACATTTTTTTTTGTCTTTTTGAGACAGGGTCTCCCTGCAGCCCCAGCTGTCCTGGAACTCACTATGTAAACCAGGCTGGCCTCAAACTTGCAGAGATCTGCCTGGCTCTGCCTCCCGAGTGCTGAGATTAAAGGTGTGTACCACCACACCCAGCCTTCAACATATTTTAAATTTCTTTTGTTTTCTGAGAGAGGATCTCACCTACCCCAGGTTGGCCAGGTAACTAAGGATGAACCTGGGTCCTCTCAAAGTCCTTTGAATCGCTAATCCATATTTCCGGACTCTGTATTTTTTTCTTTTTAAAAAATTGTTACATTTTTATTTATGTATTTTTGTGTGCCTGTGTGTGTGTGTGTGTGTGTGTGTGTGTGTGTGTGTGTGTTTGTGTGTATGTGTTGTTCTAGGACAGACTTCACAAAAAAATCACAAACACCACTTTAAGAAAAGTAGCAAGGTAAATTTTATTTTTCGACCAGCTGGGCTGTCTATCTCGGGAGTAGAAGCAGCCCTGATGATTGTTGGGTCAGAGTTTTTATAGGATTACAGAAATATTATTCAAACAGGACATTTGTGAACCAATCAGGTTTTTACAACATAGCAGAACTTTGACTCTATTAATCAACAACCAATCATTATACAGACAAGTGATACAGTCATATAACTTGGCAATCAACTTTGTAATTTTAAAATTAGTCAACTCCCTAGCCATGACAAGTATAGTAAGAAAGCTGAAATCAGCAGTTACCGGGTGGTCATACAATAACAGGATAACAAGAGTGGTCTTATGCCCTGTGTCAAGGTGACCCAAGATAGCAAGCAGATTACAGAAGCAAAAACAAGCTGGTTAGCCAGATGTATAATATCTGGAATTACCACATTCCATGATTCATGACTAGGACAATTTCCCAAGGCCCAAGGTTGCCCCCCTTTTCCTTTTGGTGTGGAGCAAAGTTGATGCTAAAATGGCTCTGAACAAAATGGAGTAACTTAGGTAAGTTTGCTGAGCCAGCTCATTGTGTGTGTGTGTGTGTGTGTGTGTGTGTGTGTATGTGTGTATGCACATGCCACAGTGTGCATGTGGATGTCAGGGGACAACTTACGGGAGTCAGTGCTCTCCTTCCATCATGTGGGTCTTTAGGATCATAGGATCACACTCAAGTTGTCAGGTTTGATAGCAAACACCTTTACCCTCTGAGCCATCTTGCTGGCCCTGATTTGCTAGCATTTTACTAAGGAGTTCTGTATCTGTGTAAATGTGAGACATTGGCTGGTAGCTTTCTTTTCATGTGATATCTGTGTAATTTAGTGTCAGGGTACGCCTGGCCTTATAGAGTAAAGTGTTTCTTCCTTTTTCTCTGATGCTTTACCTTCACTGAATCTTCATGAGGTTGCTGTGTATCACTGTTTTGCTCAGTGAGGTCCCAGCACTGGCCCAGCCATATCACCAGAAACTTAAAACTCACTGCTGCCTCAAATGCCTATTTTATCCTGATGCCTATGATGGGGATGAGAGTCCTTCCCAAAAGTCAGAGCCCCAAAACACTGGATGACAGCTCCAGGGTTGTTGGTAAAACACTGGCACTAGTAACTCTTATTTACAAAACTGTCCAGGTCTCTTGATCTGAAGTGCATTTTTTCTAGACTTCTGTAGAGGCATTTCAAGACAAGGAACAGTAGTCACTCAATTATGTTTAGGCAGTGTGAGTGTGAAGGAAGGGAGACAGCCCCAGAGAAAGGAGCAGCACATCTCAGTATCAGCTAAATATCAGGAGACCAAAGGAGCTGACTGCAGGTGCTCCTAAGATCCCATTCCATGAGCTAGCTATAAACCTGAACATTTCTATATTTTATGTATTATATATTAACTCTATCATATATAGTTGATTATAAATAATTTTATATTTATTTTATTATATGCTATATATTATATTAAATATGTATTATAGATTAAATAAAGTTCTGGAGGAAATAGGAGCTTGTTTTGGTTTTGCATGGTTTGGGCTATTGTTTTGCTGTCAACAAGCTAACACATTTTCACAACAGTTCTCTGTCTCTGTCTCTGTCTCTCTTTCTTTGAAATAGGTTTTCTAGTACAGGCTGTTCTTAAACAGGCTATGTAGCTGAGGATGACCTTGAATTTTTGATTCTCTCAAGTGTGGGGATTACAGCAGAAACCACCACCACCCCTGGCTAGTTTTTTCACTTTCTTTTTTTTTTTCTTTTTTTGGTCTTTTTGAAGCAGGGTCTCCCTGTAAGCCCCAACTGTCCTGGAACTCACTATGTAGACCAGGCTGGCCTTGAACTCACAGAGATCCATCTGCCTCTGCCTCCCAAGTGCTGGGATTACAGGCGTGCACCACCACGCCCAGCGATTCACTTTCTTTAAAAAAAAAAAAAAGAAAATGTGTGTGTATATGTGTGTGTGTGTGTGTGTGTGTGTGTGTGTGTGTATCTTTTTGAGACAGGGTCTCCCTGTTGCCCCAGCTGGCCTGAAACCCACTGTGTAGACTAGGTTGGCCTTGAACTCACAGAGATCCCCCTGCCTCTGCCTCCCTAGTGCTGGGATTAAAGGCGTGTGCCACCACATCCAGTTTCTTTTTTTTTTTAATATATTCTATTTTATTTTAATTTTTTATGTGTATGAGTGTATTGTCTGCACTTGTGCAAGTGCACCTGTGTCGTGTAATGCCCACAGAGGTCAGAAGAAGACATTGGATGCCCTGGAACTGGATTTACAGATGTTTGTTAGCAGCCATGTGGGTACTGGGACTCGAACCTGGGACCTCTGCAAGAGCAGTCAATGCTCTTAACAGCTGAACCATCTCTCAGACCCAAGCTTTTTTACTTTCAAAGTAAGAGGAGCAGAAGGAAAAAGACTCCTCAGACCTAGGCATAAATGACCCCGAGATGTGGCCATCTCATGGCAGAACACTGGTGACCTCCAGTACCCAGCACACCAGCTATCACAAGTGAAGAGTTGATGTTGGGATCCCCTAGAACTCTCCAAGGCCTGTCAGGCTAGAAGGAGCAGCCACTGGTACTAGAGGGGCTCCATGGGCACCCCGAGGGAAGGTTGTCTGAGGATGCTGGCTGTTGGTTTTTTCATGGAACATTTTCTGACAGTAGTTCTGGAAGTTCTGCTAATTCATAGAACACTCCAAAAACCCTGCCCTCTCTTGTCAATGTGTGAGTTGAGTTGCTTCCTGCATCCTCACTGAGGATGACAGCATGGCAAGGTCACTCATGTCTTCATCTCACTGTGCAGACTCCACATCACCCTAAGGTGTGAGGCGAGGGGGCGGGCTGGATGGTGCCCAACAGGGAGGAGTAATTGTAGTGAGATCGGGGATCAGGGAGAGGATCTGCTGCAGTGGTGCAAGGTCCCCAGACCTGAACCTATGAAGTGGCTGAGCCACTCAACTGATGGAGAGGGCATCCTCATCTGATGGGTAACCCTACGACCTTGGTCAGCTCTGGTCTTCATCCTGTAAGATTAGGCGCTGAAGTTATTCTGATATGCAGGACCCCACAGAGGATGCGAATTCTGAGGCGCTGGCTGATCCGACGCCTGGGGGCGGGGGCTGGCCCTGCACGCAGGCGTTGTCATCTAGCGGGGCAGGCGCAGTGCGCTCGGTGGCTGCAGCGGCGACAGCAGGTGGGTCTGGCGGGTCTGGCGGGGACGGGCTACGGCGAGAGTGCAAGCGAAAGCTGGATGTCTCGGGGCCAGGGCCATGGCAGAGACAGCTGGCTCGAGAAGCAGCCGCTGAGGCTGCTGCAGCGCATGTGGCAGGACCGCACAGCGGCGCCTCCAGGGCCCAGGTAGTCTCGGCCTCTTGTCCCCAGATCAGCTGATCCTCCAGCGTAACATAAGAAGGGGGTGGGGGGGGGTGATCGCTTTTTTTTTTCTAAGGCCAGGTGTTTCCTTTGGCCACGCCCCGGGCTGCTGGAGCCGCTCCTGTTCCGGGTCCTGGCAACCTGGCCCTGCTCCTTGGAAGCCTCCCGTTTTGCCTTCCTCATGATTCCCAGATCACTGAGCTGTTTCAAGCCTCTTGTTCCTACTCATCCTCAGAGCCACCTACCTGGTTCCCAGGCCAGCTTCACCCTGTGCCTTCCACTGCCCTGAAGGCAGCCAGGAAGGACTTCATGCGTTTTGTACCCTCCTGACCACAGTCCTGATCCCTGTCCTATTCAAGCCTTCCAGACACCTGCAGGGGTCTTGGGGTCCTAGGAAAAGAGAGAAATGGGGTAGGTAGTCGAGTAGAGAATGAAGGCTAGCCAGGACCTAGCTGGCAGCCAGTTATTCCTTCTGTTTGTCTCCAATAGGTTCCAGCAGCTGGTTTAGAACTCCTCTCAGCCATCTGCCATGGCACAGGGCCTGCCCAGCACTGCCTGCCTAGCACGTTTCTGCCAAAAGCTAAACCGTCTAAAGCCACTGGAAGAGTCCAGGATGGAGACATCACTGCGACGCTGCCTGTCCACACTGGACCTGACCCTATTGGGTGTGGGTGGCATGGTGGGCTCAGGGCTCTATGTCCTCACAGGAACGGTGGCCAAGGACATGGCTGGCCCTGCTGTGCTTGTGTCCTTCCTGGTGGCCGCTGTGGCCTCCCTGCTGGCAGCCCTATGCTATGCAGAATTTGGAGCCCGTGTGCCACGCACGGGCTCTGCATACCTGTTCACCTATGTATCTATGGGTGAAATGTGGGCATTCCTGATAGGCTGGAACGTGCTTCTGGAATACCTCATTGGAGGTGCTGCAGTGGCTCGTGCCTGGAGTGGCTATTTGGATGCCATCTTTAACCACAGCATTCGCAATTTCACAGAGTCGCACCTGGGTGTCTGGCAGGTGCCCTTCCTGGCCCACTACCCAGATTTCCTGGCTGCTGGCATCTCACTTGTGGCTTCTGCCTTTGTCTCTTGTGGTGCCCGAGTCTCCTCCTGGCTCAACCACACCTTCTCAGCCATCAGCCTGATTGTCATTCTTTTTATGATCGTCCTGGGCTTCATCCTGGCCCGCCCCCACAACTGGAGCCCAGAGGAGGGAGGCTTTGCACCCTTTGGCTTCTCTGGCATCATGGCGGGCACAGCCACCTGCTTCTATGCCTTTGTGGGCTTTGATGTCATTGCTGCCTCCAGTGAGGAAGCCCAAAACCCACGGTGGGCTGTGCCAATGGCCATTGCCATCTCTCTTGGACTAGCAGCTGGTGCCTATATCCTGGTCTCTACTGTGTTAACTCTCATGGTGCCTTGGCACAGCCTGGACCCTGACTCAGCACTCGCTGATGCCTTCTACAGGCGGGGCTACAGCTGGGCAGGCTTCATTGTGGCGGCTGGCTCCATCTGTGGTAAGGGACCCCTCTGGGTAGGGTGGGAGGGCACAGGGTAGTGGGCCCTCCCCTGAGCCTCTCAGAGGACATACTTCCATTCAGACCTCAGTTTTACCAACTATCTAATGAGCTCATGGAAACACTAATTTTCAGAGGCTTGTTGGAGGACCCTCTCCCCACAAATTCTTCTCAGAATGTCAGTTTTGGGGCATGTGTTTGCAGGTCCTTTCCAGGCAAAGTGTGAGCTCGCAACAGATTCTTTAATGGTCCTGTAACCTAAAGTGAAATGCCCCATTTCTAGGTGGGAGGTGAACGCTCTCAGCACTCATGCTATCTGGGAACCCAGCAGCAGCCTTGCAAGGCTTATCTGTCTGCCATACTGACTGCTCCCTGTGCTCTGCTGCAGCCATGAATACGGTCCTTCTCAGCAACCTCTTCTCCCTGCCACGCATCGTCTATGCCATGGCTGCTGACGGGCTCTTCTTCCAGGTGTTTGCTCGTGTGCACCCCCGGACACAGGTGCCTGTGGTGGGAATCCTGGTGTTTGGCGTCCTCATGGCTTTCCTGGCCCTGCTGCTGGACCTTGAGGCATTGGTCCAGTTCCTGTCCATAGGCACCCTCCTGGCCTATACCTTTGTGGCCACCAGCATCATTGTGCTGCGTTTCCAGAAAGCCTCTCTGCCCGGCTCCCCTTGTCTGGCCAGCACTGGCCGCACAGCTAAGAAGTACGACTCCTTCTCAGACCATATACAGCTAGTGAGTGCTGCAGAGAAAGAGGACTTGATGTCTGAACCTGGGCAGCTGAGACCAGCCTTGAGGCCCTTCCTGGGCTTCCTGGATAGATGCAACACTGGAGCTGCTGTGGCTTGGGCTCTTGGCATCTTGGTAGCCTCAGCCATTTCTCTGGGATGCGTGCTGGTCTTTGGGAACTCAGATTTGCACCTCCCACAGTGGGGCTATGTCCTGCTGCTGGTCATCAGTGGTGTTGTGTTTCTGCTCAGCCTCCTGGTCCTGGGGGTTCACCAGCAGCAACACAAGCAAGATACTTTCCAGGTACATGCCCCTCCCACCTCAGTCCCACCTCAGTCCAACCTCCTCCTTTTGCCCCAGCCTCTTATGCTACCTGAATGAAGAAGGGTTCATGGGACTGGGGAGGCAGGTCCATCCATTCCCACCCCCTCCAACTTTCCACATGGCTCCAAATTTCCAGAGGCAGATAGGTTCTGTGGAATTTCCACGAAGTCAGGCCCTAGGCTGGCAAATCTTTCCTGCAGCCAAGCTCAGGCTTGCCCTTGCACCCTCAGATCCCCTTGGTGCCCCTGACTCCAGCCCTGAGCATCCTTCTCAACATCTGCCTCATGCTGAAGCTGAGCTACCTGACCTGGCTGCGCTTTGTCATCTGGCTGCTGATTGGTGAGTGGGAACTTGGCTTGGACCCCAAGCACACTGAGGGGGAGGACAAAGAGGGTAGGTAGGGCTGTGGCCTACCCCCCTCAGGTTCATGCCACTCCTGCAGGACTTGCCGTGTATTTTGGCTATGGCATCTGGCACAGCAAGGAGAACCAGCGGGAGCCATTGGAGCTGACTACCTCACAATATGTGATATTCCCCAGTGGCAGCCTAGAGGAAACAGTCCAGGCTGTGCAGCCTGCTAGCCAGGCAGCAGCCCAGGAACCAGGATGCACAGAGTAACTGGCCAGTCTATGAGACTGGTTCACGATGGACCCACTTCCATCACTTCATTGAGAGGCCAGAAGAAATGGCAACTACCTATCCAAGGCTGCTTGGGTTTGAAGCATGCCTAGACTGGGCTGGACTGTTCTCAGGACCTTTACCCAGGAACTGAGCCTCCAGTCTTCATGGAAAGGGCTGTGATCAGCACTGGTGTGGACTTGTTGTCCAGTGCCTTCCTGTTTATGACTTACTCTGGATACCTGGACAGGTGGGGCAGAATGGGCAGGGAAGAGGCTTCAGCCCCTGGGACCCATAATAATAACTACTCAGTTAGCCTTATGACCAGCAATGACATACACTTTTGCATTCTTTGCGGACTGAGTTCTCACCTGCTCCAGAACCAGGAAGTTTGTCCCCAGTCCACAGCAAAGACACTGAAGTTCTGCAAAAGTAGCTCTGGGAAGGGGAGCTATGTATATAATATGAAGAGGGACTTATGACAAGAACAGGGACAGCTTCACCATATGTCCTCCATAAGGGTGTGTGTGTGTATGTGTGTGTGTGTAATAGAAGTAGTAGTAATGTTGGTGCTAGAGTTGGAAGCCAGAGCTTTGTGATTACCAGGCAAATACTCTATCATTGACCTACATCCCCCCGCCCTTTGTAAGGGGCTGTGTGTGTGCGCACATACACATGCACACACACACACACACACACACACACACACACGTGGTAGTGGTGGATGGATAGAAGCCAGGGCCTTGTGATTACTAGGCAAATAAATACTCTACCATTGACATGTCCTCTGGGGTGGTATATATATTGGGAGCACAGCCTGGATTCAAAGGAAGTCACTCAAAAAGGCATTGAGGCTCCAGAGTCTCTTGATTTTCCTAGGCTCCCAGAGATCAAAGCATGTTCCCAAGGACTACCTGGGGACATTGAACTATATCCGTACACAGGTGCATTCCCCCCCTCCCCAGGTGCATTCCTGCATGGCTCACACAACTATCCTGGGAGTGCACACTATGTACACACTGAGTTGATGTCTGTTTCCAAGTTCAGTCTTCCACAGATCACTCTCCTAGTGTCTCTGCACAGTCTGGAAGGGCTTTTAGATGAAGCCTTTTGGGTCTCTGCTGCCTGTCAATCTCCAGAGCAACAGTGTCCATGGGCTTAGATAAGAAAATGACTGGTACACTAGATGTGTATAGATTCACATGTCTAAGTCTGTCCCTACCACCATTTAGCCTAGTAGGTGGCTGTGGGACTTCAAACCAGAGAGGAGAGATTGCCCAGAAAAGTCCCAGGTCCACTCTATCCCCCACTGAGGTCCCTGTGCCTGGGCTCTGTCTAAGGTAGTCACCTCCCCTTTCCCATTCCTCCCTGTAAGGACTACACAGGAAGCTGCTTGCTTTGGCAAGCTTTACTCCAGCAGTGACATAAGTTCTCTTTGGAACCCCAAGGAAAACTAGGTTCATGTGACCGACCTCCAGTTACCAGGCTGCCTCACTCCAGCCCTTTGGAGCCCACTGCCCTGATAGGTGTGCGGCACCAGGAATTCCAAAAGCTTTTCCAAGGCTCTCAAAAAAGCAATCCCAGGCAATCCCAAATGCTGGTGCAGCTTTGGCCTCAGCCCTGGTCACCAAGTATTCATGACAAAGCAGCTTCTCTCCTTCCAAGAGTGCCCACTACCTAAACTCTACCCCTACCTTGGACTAAAAGAGGTCTGGGTTTCTGCATCTCTGACCTGGCCATCCTGACTATGGGCCCTGGGACATGAGGAAAGTCTGTCAGTCAGGAATCAGCCTCTGGGGAAGTTTCTAGAGCCAGAACTGGCCAGTCCTGAGGAGCCTCAGCGTCCTTTATGTCCTTTCTTGCAGCTATGGCACTCGGGCTGTGGCCAGGCTTAGAGCCTTTTGCAGGCAGGTGCTTTGGAATTGGGTGAAGTTGGGTGGGTGGTTGTCCAGATAGGCTCCTCAGGAGTGACTTGGGAGACAGAAAATTCCAGATGTTCAACCTTCCACATCCTGGGAAACCTGGTGATCAGGTTCCAGGGGGCTAGAGTTGGAGGGCAGCATCTCTAGAATGTATATAGAGGATCCTAAAGGACCTAGTGATCACTAGTTCAGCCTTCTCCCTGACTCAAGATGAACCTAGGAGTCTGCCTATGGAGCAGGTGGAGTTCTCTACAGCCCCCTCTCCAGTCCTGCTGCAGCTTTTTTCCTTGAAGTTCCAGGACTCTCATCCTTCCCAACCCCCAAACTTCAACCAGCATGGAGTGGCTGCACGCTACAGGAATGGGCAGGCCAGTGGATGCCAACAGCCCAGACAGGGACACCTTGAGTGGATGTCTGAATCACAGCAGCAGCAGATATAGGGAGAGGTGCTGGCCCCCACTAGGACATCTGGGCAGCAAGCTTGCAGGTGTGAAAGCTGGCTCAGTTCATGAGGTGTTGACAGTTGACTTTGGAGCTTTTGCCTACAAAGACAACACATTAGGAATCTGGCTAACAAACCCTTAAGTGTGGCAGAACCCAGTGTTCTGGCAGAGTGGCCTCAGCTCTAGGACATAGGCAGGCCCACAACTCACTTCCTCATATTTGGTCCTCCAGTAGAAATGGCCTTCTTTATCCACATACAGCAACAGCAGGTCACAGAGGAAGGTAACCTAGGAGAGGCAGGACCTACAATGCTCCAGGTTTCCCAGCCTCCCTTCCCTCCTCAATCCCTCACCCAGGACACAATGGGTAGGCCCAGTGGGTTCCAGCAAGCCCGGGTTGGTGGTTACTGCAGCCAGAGTGAACCCCAGAAGATCAGACTCACCATGCCCAGCCAAGCTGTTCCTGTGCCCATTGTGATGGCCGTAGGGATAAGTGCAAACTTCCCTGCCTGAGAGACCTGGGCTGAGCCTCTCAGGCCATGGCTGTCCCCGCAAACCTCCACCAACCCTTCCGCTGGCCTAACCCTCACCTGCCCAGTGACGAGGATGTTGAAGCGGATCCCGTAGAGCTTGAGCAGGCTCCGGGCTTCCACACCTGAGTCCTCCCACCAGTGATTGGCTGTTCTGGGGGCAAGAGAAAAGACTGATAGCCTGCATGTTGCATTCCAGGCTGGATTATCCATTGACTCCATAACCTCCATCCCATCTGAGTCCTGGGTAGATGTTAAATGCAGAGGGATAAAGCAAACCAGGACCTCACTTGAGGGAGCTCCCTAACATACTGAGGATCAGATAGGGGCACATCAGCAGTGGTATGGGTGGTGCAAGGTGGGGTGGAGTTAAGGGCTATCAGAACCCTGAGACAGGAATTCCCTTTAGCCCAGAACTGGGGAAGAAGGTGAATGTACATGTTCTCCCAAGGATCAGGAAGGTATTCTGGGCAAATAGCAAGGGCCTACAGGTGGAGGAATCCATTTCATAAGGTTGTAAAAGGCTGGGGAGCCAGGCCAGTCAGGGCACATGAGTTACACCAAGGGGTGTCAGCCGTAGGTTTTATGGCCATGTTTGCACACCTGTTCCTGTGTGTGACAGGAAGATATTAAGTGGCAGGAAGAGCCTACGGTTCTACTTGTGAAATTTACAGACATGACAATAAATGCATTTTAAGATCTCTGAGGGCCTCTTAGATTGGAAAATACAAATATTTAGGACCAATACCATTACTGGCATAATGGGGGAAATACACAATGTTAGATTTAATCTACCAATACACAATTTATTTCCTTCCTTTTTGCTTTCCTCCCTCCCTTCCTTCCTCCCTTCTTCCCTCTCTCCCTTCCTCTTTCTTTCTTCCTTTCCCCCCAGGTTGCTTCAAACTTGCTATATGGCCAAGGATGACCTTGAACTCTTTTTAAAAATATTTTATTTATCATTTTTATTTTATGTGTATGTGTGTATTGC